GACATGAAAATTGCTGAAAATAGACATTGTTGATAGCCATATCTTCGAATTGATAGATCGCCGAAATGTAGATTGCCGAATTTCGACGATCTTCATTTCGGTGATATGACCATCGGCGAAATACATACTGACCTGCAATAATTCCAAAAGGATAGTAATTGTTTCGTCTGAATATAGAATGTTACGTTACTTAGTAAAAGTTTGCCTATTCCAAATCAGATATATAATTTTTGTAAACATAATACTTTAATATTTTTGAATTCTTTTTTTTTTCGTATGTTCATATTCCATAGATTAGTATCCATGTTTAGTTTTATTTAATTGATAAATTCAAAATGATCTCGTTCGAAAATTAAACTCTTACAGATTCATTTCATTATAAAATAGAATAACTAAACCACAACGAAACCACTTGATGTACGTCGATAGGTACGTCGTCCAATTGTAATTTTTTCACCAACAGGAATTGCTGATAAATTAAAAACATCTTCATCAAGTGTATGTAATGATCCATTAGTCTTATCAGCTACATTTAATAACTGAGGATTTACACTAGCCACATCAACTTGACAAGTCAAAACTTTAATAGGTTTTGTTACACGATTTAATAAATTCAAATCACGTGGTGTTGCTTTATTATCAGCAATATGAATAATATCCGTACATGTAGGACACCTAATATTAAATAGAATATTAATTTCTTTTTCTATTAATTCTAATATATGACTTACATTTCAATACCATGTAAAATTGCTTCAATATCATTTTCTGGAATATCACCACCATTACCATTTTTCATTGCCGATTGCATTGTTGCTAAAACTTTATTTAAATTATTAGCAGCCATACTATAAATACCACCAGTTGAACCAATTTTCTTAGCTGAATTTAATTTATCATCACCATCATTAAAGAATACATAATATCTGATATTCTTTGTTTTATCTTGAGATAATTTCATCCATTTATAAACAGCAGCTGCACATGGTTGCATTGAACCAGTAACATCAACAACAGCTAAAATATCAGTCCAATTATTTCTACTGAGAACATTTTCAACAACATGTTCATAATTATTATTATTTCCACTAATAATACTTTCTAATACACTTAAATCAGCTCCTTCACCAACATGTTCACAGCGAGAACCATAATAATTTTCCGTACATAAACAAAACAAATCATCGTTACCCGATGGTTCACATGAGCCCTATATATACAATCATAATAGAATAACAG